TCAGTCATCCCGTAGTCACCAGCATGGGATGGCATAAATACTGCCCTTTGGTCTCTATTTCCCAGAACTTCCCTCTGCACAAGGGGACCCCCAGGAATCCTGTTAAAATGGCTCTGTAGCTGTTTGATATCAGCAGAGAGATGTCATTCAGCCCTACAGTCGTGGATTATACTACTGCAGATTACAGATTGAAGACCACAGTGATGTGTAGCAAGCCAGCTTTGATACTGGTAGTGGTCTCATCACAGTAACATGGCAGCCCACGTGGACCCATTTCCTCCAGAAGTGGCGAAAAGAGGCCATGCTGTGCTCTGTAACACTGTGGCTAAACTACGCCTGCTCCCCTCTATAGGCTGCTCTGGAGCCAGCACAGCGTATCTCCATGCTGATCTGCAGTCTGCACAATTTGAAGCTGAAAGGGATGACTGTAATAATCAAGTGTGAATCTACTCTCACCTAACACTGCTGGGGTAATATGCCCAGTAAAATTTTCCAGCCCAAGGCCAAAAACATGATACCTCTCTGTTTCCTTCCCTCCCTCTTTTATGGACTTAATAGAAATTGCCTCCAGCAATTCCATATACATTAGAGAAGGAAGAAAACACAACAGGCAGTGCATTGCTTGAGCATTATGGCACTCCAGGTGTGCATGCTCAGACACGGGGAGCTGAAAAGAGGATGACAGGCATGACTGCAACAAGACTGCCAGAAATTACACTGCTCATGATTAGTGTGAATCCCTATTGTGAGGCAAAAATGATGCAAAATAGAGAGAGAATAGAGAATAAGGAGAGTAGAGCTGGTTTATGCACAGATTTTTATTTGCAGTTAGTGACACTGGGCTGATGTGATGGAGAAAGTCAGTGGACCAGATAATCAAAATTCAGAGGACAAAAAAAAATTCTTAATAATAATCCTAATTAATAATCCATTTATTTTGCCTGTCAGGTAGAAAAATGGCAATGTAATCTGCCAGACAAATTATTCTGTACTCTGAAAACAGAAGTAGTTTCGGTACTGAATGCAAGCCAAAATCAGCTGTCAGCTACGCTGGTGTAAATTCCAAAACACCTCTGGAGATGAGCCCATGTACTTCTGGTTTATATTAATGCAAATTTGACCCCAGGAAAAATACCAATTTAAATTCAATGGTTTTGAAGAGCAGCCATCCAAAAAAAGTTGCCATTGGAATTCAAAGCAATTTGATAAAATAAGATGCTATTCACTGATCACTTTAAATGATTAAAGTAAAATTGTACCACTATAGAAAGTAAGATCTGTTTTTAATGAAAAGAACGTCCTCCATTGTCTCCCAACAAATGGAACAGATGGCTTGTGGTTTAAAATCAGTGCTTCTCTGATGAAGTCAATGCATAAACCCCTGTTAGCAGCAGCTGAGAGCCTAGATAGATTGCATATCTTGCTGTCTCTCTTTGAACACAAATGCGCTGGTTGCTATGTTGATCACCTGGATATACTAGTATCATTTATATTTTATATACTGGTGTGTTCATAGCATTGGAAAAGAGCAGAGAAGTTTTTTCACATTTACAAACTAAGCAGCTAGTAGAAGGTCACAGACCAAATCTAGGCCCTGTTCCATTTTTTGCATTACGCCCCTTTCAAAGGCTCCAGGTAAGAGGCAGCCTATGAAGTACTTCCGCTGGGACATGATTTTTAGTTTGGACCAATCTGTTACACTATCACATGTTAGTTTTGGCTTATTCTGTGTGGTCATCTCAGCTGTGGTGTGCAGGGTCATGCAACCTTTCCATTTTTTATCGACTCTCCCACTGCCCTAACGAGCAAGTCTGAAGAAGGTCCCTTAACTTCCCCCTTGCACTTGGGCTTCTTTTCTCATGTCTTTCTAGAGTAAAGTGATTGTAAGATGTTTACACTGTTAGTCCCTGTTGACACATCTTTCATTCAGTACCAGAAAATGGGATTGTGATTTAAGTTTGGACCTTTAAGTGTGACATTAACGGTGATAGACAGTAGCTCCCTGTCCTGGCTATGCAATGAGAGGATGGGAGCTTTGCAATATGATTCGCGGCAGCTGAATCAGGACCTGTAATATCACACTGAATAATTTAGTAGTTGTTACTGACCTTGACCTCTTCACAAATTCCCTTCTAACATCTATGACTATGTGTGAGAAAGTAAATGCCTTTTACCTCCTTTTTTTTTTTATTTTCACTGTAAAAGCTCACCTGATCCAGCAGCCCTCTCAATCAGCTAAAAAGCCTTCATCCTAGCGGTTCATTCTCATTTTCCCTCTTGTTTTCGGAAGCTTTGTTTCTATCCTCCAAAGCTCAGAGAGTGACAGTGCCCATCTGGGATATACTGAACGTTACAAAAAGTGCAGCTCTTAGGAGCCTGAGCAGCAAACATCCTGGTGAGGGAAAAGGAGGAGAGATGATCTTAACTGGACTCTGGGTCCAATTTGAAAGGACTGCTAACTTCACTGTGAGTAGTGTAGAGGTGGCAAAATGCCCCCTCTGTGGGAAATGTAGACATTGTTTTAAGCTCTTTTTAAAGTGGTTTTACAGTAACTTGTAGGACAACAGAGCTGACCTGTATTGAGGGAGGACTTGGAAGGCTGCAGGGAGCAGGTACGTCCACACTAGGTAGTGAAGGAGAACTGCCCCGTGTCCTCTCTCACTAACTCTAGACCTGCAAGCATTACTACGGCAGAATATAGGAGCCAAGCAGGGCTGCTCGTTCACCTCATTAAACAGTCAGACTGCTTCTGGGATTCAGAGCTGCCTCTGAATAACGTTGTAGTGCACCATGCATATGCAGCAGTTCGTGCAGGTGTACCGCAGGCTTCTCTGGCTTGGTGCTGCATCATGATGTGCACACAAGCATTGCCGCTGCAAACACTGAAACCGGTCCTAGAGCAAAAACAGTGTGAACACATCCTTCAGTGACAGTCAGTTGGTGCTATCATTCAGCATAGGTAACAATTGCCTGTAGCCTTCTGCAAAATCTAGTGATACTTGGAATAGTTTGGACTTGTGCTAACAGAAGCGCTGAAATGGAAGGAGATAGGAGGTTTTTTGTGACGATTTTCACAACAGAGAATAAATGAAGGACCCTTTGCTCAGGGTTGTGGTGCTGTCAGCATTCATTTTCTCCTTGGAGACAGTAACAAAGTAGCCTCAGAAAAGCTTTCTAACTCTATGGTACCACTGTTGTTCCATGTATTTGGGTTGCTGATGCATAAAAAGAGCTCCAAAAGTTCAGAGAGTTTTTTTCTCCCTGCTACTTAATTCCCAGAAAAGTAAACTTGAAAGGATTTTATCAGAATAGGTTCTTTTCCTTTTAAATTATATATATGTGTGTGTATATTTACATTTTTTTTCCCTGTAGTCATTTGTGGAAGGATTAAAATTCATATTGGATTCCTTGGGTTTTTGTGCATTTTGATTTGTTATGGTACTGTTATTTATCAGAAGTCACAATGCTTTTTTTGATACAAAGACTGAAAGAGATGTTTGGCATTCATTTTATATGAATTATATTTATTTATTCAAATATGTTAGAACACCAAAGTAAAAATATTTTTTCTGTATAATCATTTACAGTATGTCTTTTCTTGTATTGCATGTAAATTATAATGAGTCTGGGTCTTTAAATGTTTGAAATTAAGTTATAATTCTCACAGTTGTCACTGTCTTCTGCATTGTCTGTTACATCTTGATGAAAAGGACTAGTAAAATCCATGAATATTAGTTTAATAGAACAGTGCAAGACCTGCATGCCCTCTGGTGGAAGCGATCCTTAACAGACTAAGGTAGATCAGCTTTCGTGGCAATGCTAAATGTCTGACCTGCAGACAGACACGCTCTCCTTTGATATACTTAGTTACTCAATTAAGTTATGTTTCTCCACAGCAGAGTTTGTTAGCTAGTAGGAAGGAAAACTCTTCCAGTGCATTATTTTTTTCACACTTTTCATTACAGTTTGAACTCTTTCATTTCTCTTCAACCTCTTTCTTGACTTTTTAACCTTGTTACTCCACTGTAATAAAAAGAAAATGAGTTATATGTTGTGTAAAGGTATTGAACAGTATCTCATTATTGACACAGGTTTTATATGTAGAATTTTGCTCTGCTTTTAAGGAAGTTTACAGGTCCGATACAAGCTGAGTAAGGATGGGCTCCTCATTTTCACCATTGACTCTGGAAATTTTGCCAACCGAGAGCTGCACCATGTGAAGATTAATAGAGAAGGCAGAGAGCTCGTGATTCAGGTATGCCATGGCTTATGTTGAGTGTTAAACAATACTTCATACCACAAACAGACCCACTGATTTCAATGCCTGATGGCCAGCGGGAGGCAAAGGTTTCACATTGATCTGGTGCAACCAAAGCTGGTCCAGCAGCAGAACAGCCCTGTTAGGGGCTGTTAGGTTAGACCTAACCCTGTTAGGTTAGACCTAAGCTCTATCCAGACCCTACTTCAAAGAGTGCCCAACCATGGTGTTTTCCGTTGAGTGATCCTTCCCTTGTCTCTGACAATCTGTGAATTAGGAAACACCTTTGGCCGGAAGTTCATCTGGACCATTGGAGTGGTTCTGGGGCTTAGGGATGTCTGTGTGATCTGTAGTCCCAGAGGAAGCATACAGTATGGATCATTAAAAAGCTGCCAAAGGGAGAAAAACAGCTGAGGAATGAGCACCTGTGAATGTAATTTCGTTTAGGGTATGTGCCCCAAGGGAGAATGTGACCCCAGCTGCCTTATCCTCTCACAGAAAAGGAAAAGCTGAGGGAACACAGGGTGCAACCACCACATGCATGACGGTGCCGTCGCTTTGCTAGAAGCAAGCCATGCTGAATGTGACAACCTTATGAGAGACGAGAACCCTCCTCTGCCTTGTTTCCCTGCATCGCTTGTTTTTCCAAGGCAGGGAGAACACGACCATCTTACTGCTCCTTCCGCTTTCCTTCTGAGGCTAATTATAGTAGTTCATATTACAAAACAAATTGTCTAGATCTGGGCGGCAGTCATTTAACAGGGAAAGGTGGCAGAATCTACAGAGAAGCCATGTGTTAAGGAATAGAATGAGAAGGAGACAGAAACACAGGGTGCGCCACAGTTTTTTTTTTCCTCTACAGTTTCCATGTCTGGGTGGTAAAATGATAACACAGTTAGCATGCAGCTAGGGTCTGTAGGCCTGATTATCTAGGAAGGAGGCTTATGCTAAAAGCCAGGGTTTTCCTCAAGTACCAGTCTTCTATTGTCTGCTGCACTGTGGTTTTCTTCTACACACAACTAATTCTTCACAATACATTTCTAGAGAGGCCTCCTTTGAATGTATTCTGAAGTGACTAGACATGGATTGTAGGAAGCAGGAGGATTTCAGTGTCAAACATTTTAAGCTCTTCTGCAGGGGAGGTTTCTTCAAAGCCCTTTATATGACTATTCTGGTGTACCTTTCAGCTTTTCACGCTAAAATCAAAGCACATTCACTTTGCTATCTTTAGAAACTGAATCACGCTTGGGGGCAGAATTAACTGATTTGCAGCTGAGAGCGTTCCCAGAAGTTTGCAGTACAGAGAGATCTAGGGGTGTCTACATGCTGTTGTAATGAACTAATTTTATTGACCTCTTCCAGGTTGATCAAGTTCTCAAACTCAAACACAACTTTTCTGAGATTGATTTTAAGGCCATAAAATCACTCACCTTGGGCAAGGTCACAGGTAGGTTCTACTAAAAATATTCCTTATTCATCAGTTGTTATAGTGCAGGAGTTAACCTGTGCCGTGTGTTGAGTAGGATTGGGGTTATGTTTGGCTGGTTTAGCTGTAAGAGTTGGCCTGAGTATTCCAATATTCCTATTTGTGTATCTCATCAATGCAAAAATTCGGCAGCTTTACTTGTTTGCGCTGATAGCAATATTAACTCCTCCCATTGCTCCCTCCAGTACAGTGATTCATACTGTCCGTGTGGCTGCACAGGGTGGCATCTCAGCCTAATGATATCTTTTTGCTGGCTACAGCTTGCTCCTCTCAAGCCATCTCTGTTTCCTAACGATAAGAACAGCAGCACTGTGAGCCTTCATCCTCTCTACTCTTTTTTCACTCCCAGTCCTTTTCCATTTGAATTCTGCAAGGAATATTTATATTACATATAGCACTGAGGCCACAATCCTGCATGCTCTGTGCGTGGACCTTCTTGGTTTTTACCCCTCCACACTACAAAGCCATTACAAGACCAGGAAAACTCTGCCTGAAATTTGGAAAGTAGAACTCCTCTATTTTATTGTCAAGTATGTTGTATTACTTTTATCAAAGAGTCTTATTCATTCCCGGTAAGATTCTAAATGCTTCCTTGGTTATAGACATTTTAGTCCTTATTAGAATTGGACCTCTATATCAAGCCTGACATCTGTTTTACTATTACAATTTTATATGTCTTATTAATAGCACCCAAGGCCTGCGGGACTGGTAGCTAAACAGAAACTATAGACATCCTCTAGTGTCTACTTGTGCAATATAATAGTATGTAATGACATTAGTGCATTCTGCATCATGTTTTACTAAGTAGATTAAGGGAAGGAACTGGTTTTTCCCTTAATTATATTTAATGTTTGTTCAGAATGCAGCAATCTTCCAAGCCTTTGTGGATGGGTTTGGGGACCTGACACTTTTCAGCCCAAGTCAGAGCTAAGCTAAAAATCTCATTTTGTCAACGGTCAGCTGTAGTACTGAAAATCTAAAAGAACATTGCTCATCATGACCTCTACCTAAAGCTCCAGCTATAGATACCAAATCAAAAAAGCAAGGCTTTTCTAACCAGCAAGATGGAACATAGCACAAAGACCTTCAGATATGTAGCCAGCAAGCTGACAACATGCAGCTCAGCATCATGGAGATAAACTAGATTTAGTCACAAAAATATGATTAACTTTACAAGTACAAGGTTGTTGCAAAGCCAAAAAGTCCAAATGTATCTCCAGAGGTCTGGCATTCAGTTCCACTGAACACCACAGACTTGTCTCCAGACAGCTTTTAATGGATATATCCTTCTGTTCTTTCTCTGTTGCCCCGAAGTTTATTGGGATTTTGTTTTAGTAATAGTAATAATAATAGCAGTAGTTCATATTCTATAATGACACTAAAGCCATAAACTTGGCCATCCAGATGGTGGGAGATCTTATTGCTGTACCAGGAATCACACAATGCATTCCAGCAAGTAACTTTAATTCCAGCCTAATCCTAACTCTGGTTTCTTCTTCATATATTAAGTGAATTTCCACAAACTTTTTCTTCTATGTCAGGATTTCATTTTCCAGGTTTTATCCCACAGCTGTAGCTGTGCTGAATAGAGTCCTTGTGCTCTCACAGAATAACAAATTCCCCTGAGTCTTCTCCTCTCCAGGATGAACAGTCCCAGCTCTGTCAAGCTTCTCCTCATATGAAAGATGCTCCAGTCCTTTAATCATCTTTGCAGCCCTTCACTGGACTCACCCCAGTAAGTCCATGTCTTTCTTCCACTGGGGAGCCCAGAACTGGACCCAGCACTCCAGTAGTGTTACACTCTTGCAGAGTATGGGGCAAAGATTACCTTCTTCTGTCTGCTGGCAATGCTCTTCCCAAGGCAACTCTGGATGCCAGGATGTTGTTGGCTGCCTTTGCTACAAGGGGACATTTCTGGCTCATGGTCAGCTTGTTGTCTGCCAGGATCCCCATGTCTTTCTCTGCAAAGCTGCTTTCCAGCTGCTCAGCCGCAACCAGTGTTGGTGGATGGGGTTATTCCTAGCCCAAGTGCAGATCTTTGCATTTCCTTTGTTGAACTTAATGAGGTTCCTGTTTTCCCATTTCTTCAGCTTGTCAATGTCCCTCTGAATGGTGGCACAACTGTCTGGTCTACCAACTGCTCTTCCCAATTTTGTATCATCTTCAAACTTACTCAGGTTGCACATTGTCCCATGCTGGGGAAAAAAAAAAAAAAAATCTCTACTGCTACAATGTCAAGAGTATTGCCTTGTTATATCAAGACGAGAGCTGGACCTTGTAATTTTAAGAATGTAGAACTTACATAAATATGTCCATTCATCATTTATACTATTATATAGGTAAAATGTTGACTATAGCTTCTTTTAATGATGGCTCACCAGAAGGTGAGTACTGGTGACCTAAACCAATATCCTTCAAGTTCTTCCTTGTCATTGTTCATCCCCTCAGCAAAGCATAAACTTCCAGAGGCATGTCATGCTTCAAAGTAGACCTAGACTTCATGTAGTGTTTGTTTTGGATGCCACTGAGATTTAGGTACCTAAAAGCATTCATTAGGAACATTGAAGTGTCCACTGAAATAGAACCATATAAAAAAACTCTGTTCTATGTGTTCTACATATCCATGCTATACTCTTCTGAAAATTTGTCTCTCCTCTTCTTTCCTGTCACACCACTGCTCTTATGCCTGCTCTAACAGCCTGATCCTGGCTGCTTATCCAGATGATTATACCACCTTCTTTCTTGACTCCACCATTCATTTCCCACTGGCTGAGAAATCTCAAAGCGAGCTTCCAGCAGGACATCATAAAAGCTTGAAGCCTCTTCCTCACCAAATTTTCTTATGATAACTATTTTAGCACAGCTGGAACTTTTGAAAAGTGCACTTTTATACAATGACCAGTTTTTAAATAATAGTGCTTCCCCACCTCCTACCCCCCCAGCCCTATTACAATTCCTTTAGTCAAAAGCTACTTAAATTCTGATATTTTTTTATGTTTTTCTAATCTGCCATATTTTCCAATGTCTGTCCTACACCCAGCTCTGAATTCCAGGAAAAAATCCCTCCATTTAAGGCAGAGGAGGCACACCTGGAATTCAAAACATAGGGACACTCACTCTGCCACAGACTGCTTGAATGACCTTGGGCAAGCCATTTATGTGCAGATACAAAGGTTAGCAGGCATTTTATTCCCACTAGAACCAGTCTGAGCTTTACTATCTCTGTTCTCTGTCAGTAAAGCATGGAAAATAGAACATCCCTACATCAGAGGGGTGCTAGGAGGATAAAAGCATTAAAGGCTGTGAGCTGTTCAGATCCACAGTAATGGGGCCATATAGCTGCCTTAGAAAGATCAATCTAAATATGTGTGGCTTTGAAGACACGGGAGTAAAAAGAAGCAGCATTCAAGTAGCCAACAGACGTTTGTTGAATGCATCCTCACAGTATCCAACAGCAGTAGAAAAATATTATAATCCTGTAGTTCGTTGCCATTTTTACTTAGCAAATATAGAGGCAAGGCACAAAAGGACCTATCCAAAGCTCATCAGTATCAATGGGACTTTTTCCATGGACTTTAGTGAGTACTGGATTCAGGCCCCAAGTGGGTCATACAGTTTATGGCAAATCCTCAGTGAAATCTTAACTAGAGTCCCAGTTCATTTACTTTAAGTACTCCTTGCAGAGATCATACTGCTGTATTTAATCACATGAGCTCTATTGGCAATCTGACCTAACTGTGAAGCTGGCTCCGCTTTGAACAAGGGATTGAACTGCATGACCTTCAGAGGTGTCTTTCAACTTAAATTATTCTGTAATTCTCTGATCTCAGAGACACATTTGCACATGTTTAGGTCTTGACTAGAAAAAAGCTGCTATCCCAATGGAAAATATCATTTATTTGTTTTGGGGTTGATCTTATGAATCTTTGAAAACTTCTTACTGTGCCCCAACATGCCTAAATCTTTCACCATTATAGTACCTGGAAAAATAATCACTGATGCAGAGGAGTGAATCCCATTGTCTGCATATTTGCTTCTGAGCAATTTAATATACTAGCTGTGTAGTGATACCAGAGTAAAAGGGTAGCATTGAAAGGGGTTCAAGAGTATTCTCAAGAAAAAGGTTGCAAAGATTTCTTTAGCACCTGTTAATATTGACCTAATTTACTTGTGTCTTCAAAGTGATGAATTAGCAGACCTTCCCACACTGGCAATGTAAAGAACTGTGCAGTCTAGCACACAATCATAATATCTTTTATCTCAAAAAGCCTGAGCTAAAACATACTCAAGTTGTAGGAGTCTTTCCACTGAATCATTCAGCTCTGATATAAAGTGTACGTAGAAGAAAGTATATCTGGAAAGTAATTTTATTAAAATCATTATGTAGATGCAGTACAATTCTTATGATTTCTACAATAGCTTTTCTTATTAAAAGTTCACAAGAAGAAAATGGAATCTATACACTGAAGAGATCACAGAGTGTTGTGGTTTAACCTCAGTCGGCAACTGAGCACCACACAGCCGCTCGCTCACTCCTCTCCCCCGCCTCCCCGGTGGGTTGGGGGAGAGAATTGGAAGAGTAGAAGTGAGAAAAACTCGTGGGTTGAGATAAAAACAGTTTAATAACTGAAATAAAATAATAATAACAATAATAATAATGTAGTAATAATAATAATAATACACAAAGCAAGTGATGCACAGTGCAATTGCTCACCACCCACCGACCGATGCCCAGCCAGTCCCCGAGCAGCGGCCCCCCCAGCCAGCTTTCCCCCAGTTTATGTACTGAGCATGACGTCACATGGTATGGAATGTCCCTTTGGCCAGTTTGGGTCAGCTGTCCTGGCTGTGCCCCCTCCCAGCTTCTTGTGCACCTCCAGCCTTCTCAGTCGATAGAGCATGGGAAGCTGAAAAGTCCTTGACTAGTGCAAGCACTACTCAGCAACAACTAAAACATCAGT